CTGTGGCACGCACCCTCCCAACGCATTCGCTCTTTAAGCTCATACCAGCCCCTGGAGGTAGGCACTGCTGTGACCACGTGGACATCTCTGGTGTGGACAGTAGGGGAGAAGGGGGGGAAATACACACACACAGGTGTGTACACATATGTGTGTATAAATACGCTGACATTAAACATCACCGGGAGGGGATGCAAGAGACTGACGTCATGGTTGCATCTCGGGAGGGAGCAGGGCGCCTGGGATACTGAGGTGAGGAGAGGGAGACCTTTCCGCCTGTTGGTTTTGAACCGCGTGACTGTGTTACCTGTAAACAGTCACCATGGAAGGAGCCGCACCAGCCTAGGGTTTGGGATCAGCACCAGCTGAGCTCCGGGCGCCGCCACCTCTGGGTCTGGGCAAGTGGGCGGTCCTGAGAGTGAGCCGGACTGGCCACAGGGTCCAGGGTGTGCAAGGATCGCTAGAGAAGAGGGTGGCTCCCTGCGAGGCCCAGAGGCCCAGAGGGAGTTAGTGGTGGGACTTGCAGGCTCCCCCAGCTAGAGCGGCTCTGAGCAGGACCAGGCAGCCCAGCCTCGCCACCAGAGGGCAGGCTCAGAGCCAGGTGATGGGGCCAGATCCCAGCTCATCACTTGGCGCTTGGCAGCCGGAGGGCAGGGTCCTTGGCCCCTCTGGGCCTCCGTTTCCTCGGCTGCTAGATGGGGTGAGCCATGGCGGCTCTGGCACAGTTGTCGGGAGAGTGCAGGACCGCTGCTGCGTGCAGAGTGCGCCGTGAGCGTCAGTGAGTATGGCTCTGTCCCTCTGAAGGTGACTCTGCCATAGGCAGTGGGAGCCCGGGGCTCTGGTGCCACCTGGTGTCCTGCAGTCTGTCTGGCTCTCGCACTGGCAGGGGCCTGGCAGGGCCAGGGAACAAGGGCGTGCGCTCCCGTCACGAGCCGCTCGGGCTGGGCGCTCGGCAGCTGCTTGTGGATTCAAAAAGCATCTTCGTGCCACTGAGCCAAATGCCACGAACACCTTGTTCCCTGCGCGAGGCAGTGACTCAGCCATTGTGCCAAGGAAGTGACGGGAAGCTGTTGCTCTGGGGGAGGCACCCCGAAAAGGGTGTGAGCCTCGTCTTCGGTGGGGAAGCCGGGTTCCCACCTCCCCTCCTGCAGTCACACTCTGACGTCCCGAAAGGACACTGAGCTTCCTAAGGTCGGGCCTTGGGTTCACTCTCTGTGGACACTGTGATCGGGACCTTGTTGAAATCATGCGCCATCACCCAGCAGTCCTGAAAGAGCCCCTTCAGGTTTAAGGAACAGCAAGCCTCCAGCTCAGGTCACCTTAGGACACAGGTCAGCTTTGCCTGCCTGCCTGTCTGTCTGTCTGTCTGCCCCCCTTCTCTTCCACGTGCCAGGCACTGCTCATGCAAAGACAGCAAGTGGGCTCCATCCCTCAGAAGCACAAAGTGTAGAAAGGAAGATGACACACACACCAATAATTCCGTGTTACAGAGGGCTGTGAGAGCCGAGGACCGTGACTAGCTCTGCTAGAGGCCGGCAGGAAAAGCTTCAGAGCGGAGGTGATATTTGTGCTGGGTTTTGAGATATAAATAGGAGTTTACCAAACAGTGAGTAGGAGGAAGGAAATTCCAGGCAGAGAGAACAGCCTGGGCAAAGACCACAGGTAGGAGATCATGGTGCTTTTGAAGAATGGCGCACAATTTACTTTTCTTATTTATTATTATTTTTTAAATATATTTTTATTGATTTCAGAGAGGAAGGAAGAGGAGATAGAAACATCAGTGATGAGAGAGAATCATTGATCTTGTTGGAGCCCACAACCCGGGCATGTGCCCTGACCGGGAGTTGAACCGTGACCTCCTGGTTCATAGGTTGCTGCTCAATCTCTGAGCCACACTGGCCGGGTTGGCGCACAATTTAAAACTTATGAATCATTTATTTCTGGAATTTTCCATTTAATATTTTCGAACTGCAGTTGACCATAGGCAGCTAAAACCATGGACAGCAAAACCACAGATAAGGGAGGATGACTATGTTTTTCTTTTTTCTAATCTTCACATTTCTATTAGGAGCATGGCTAGGCCCCAGTTCTTATTCACAACGCCCGAACCCAAATAGCCCCGGAAAACGGAAGTGATTTCCTTTCTCTGGGAGGGAACTCATTTTGTGGCAAAATGACCTGCACAGCTGGGAGGCTATTTATAGTCCTCATTGATGCGCTGGTGTGAACTGCCATCTTCTGCGGCAGAAACATGAATGCGTTTGATTACAGGTTTGTCCCAGGCCCGCTCAGGGTAGCAGGTAGCCCTGTGGCATATGCACCAGATTGCCTTTTGACAATAGAATTAGAAACGAAACCCTGATTTCCAAAACCAGGCTGGCCCCGGGTGTGTGGGTAAGGAAGCGTGGGCCTGGATCGCTTTTGGGATGCAGGCGGCCTGCTCCATTTCTCCGGTGGTCTCGCTCTCCGTGCTGGGACCAACAGAAACCGCGTCCACCTGTCTGCACGTTCAGCCCTCCCTCCCAGCCCACCTGGCCCCCAGCAGGTGATTTCGCCTCCTGCTTTACAGCCGCCTCAGTCAGGAGGCGGTGGTAGGAGGGCACCGTGGCCTGGCGGGCGGTGATCTGTATTTTAGAAACTCCCCTGCCCCGACGAGTGAGCTCCATTACTGTGAGCAACTCATTTCACCTTTGGGCCTCAGTTTACTCTTTCAGTATCCCTGCCCCCGCCCCCGCCCCCCAGACTTCTCTGTCTCTACCAGGTCAGAGGCATTTGCTGGATCAAATGCTACTACGTGCCAGGATGACTGCTGGCTGTACATTTGATTCTCACAGTCACTCTGGGAGGGAGACTCTATTATTATTCCCACTTTTCACATAAGAAAACTGAGGCTCATGAAACAGGCACTACCACTTGCCAAGTCCTCTCGGCCGAGTGAAGGTGGGAGTCAGATGTAGAGCTGCGTCTGTCTGACTCTAAAGCCCTGTGCTGGGTCCAGCTGCGGGCCCTGCTTTGCGTAACAGGAGACGGGATGTGAAAAGGCGTGGGAAACTGCCCCAGGCCGTCTAGATGCTGAGAGCAGACTGTGTGGCCCAGCCTCCTGACCGGCCTGAGAGCAGATGGGGTCGAGCAGGGCTTCCCCTCTCTGGAAGGGTCTTAGATCTGTGCCTCAGGTTGGGTGAGCGAGGTGGGTTCCTCTGTGACCTGGGGCGTGTAGGTGTGTATGAGTGAACCTTCTCTTTCTGGGACCAGGGAGAGCAGGTGGGCAGGAGGAAGACGGTGGTGTCTTTGTTTATGGTTTGAGGTGGAGGAGGTCTCAGGGAGACCTTGATGTTCGCAGTTCTCAGGCTGCACACTGGACAACTCGAGGAGGCACCATTCACACTCTAGTCTAAGTGAGTGGCACTCCCTAGAGTCGTGCACTGCACACCATGTCTGATGGCCCTGGAGATGCTCCTTCGCGAGATAGCCCCACGGTCAGCCGTGATCGCAGTTAAAACGAGCAGGGAACTGACTGTGCAAGTGTGCGCGTCCATTCTGCCGTGCCTCAGCCCGACAGTGAGCCTTTACCAACATGCTCCTGGATCTGCGTTTTACCGGCGACACAGTTCCAGGGGGTGAGGGGACATGTCCAAGGTCGCACAGCACCGCTCTTCCCCACCGTGCCTCGGGGCCTCTGCACTCCGCTGGGGCCGAGGAAAGGGGGGTTGGTGGGAACTCCGTTGCACTTGAATGAAACTGTGACTGTGTGTCTCCTTTCTTCCCCTGCCACGGTCCCCTCCCGCATAGCTGGACAAGATGCTGGACCCGCAGGTGTGGCGGGAGGCGGCCACGCAGGTCTTCTTCGCCCTGGGGCTGGGTTTCGGGGGCGTCATCGCCTTCTCCAGCTACAACAAGCAAGACAACAACTGCCACTTCGACGCCGCCCTGGTGGCCTTGATCAACTTCTTCACCTCGGTGCTGGCCACCCTCGTGGTGTTTGCTGTGCTGGGCTTCAAGGCCAACATCATGAATGAGAAATGCGTGGTTGAGTAGGTGGCGCCTCCTCCCGCCCTTTCTCCGCCCTGTCCACCCTCCCGGGAGGGGCAGGCGGGCCGTGGGCGGGGAGTCCCTGTCCCCGGGCTGAGGATGGAGATCAGGGGAGCTCTCCATCCCGGCCCCGGACACAGGGGCAGATTCACAGATGCCTCTGCTGATGGCCAGCGGGTCCCACCTGGGTGCCAGGAGGTGCCCCCAGGTTCGTGCTCACCGCTGCCTGTTTACCTCGTCTGCTCCCCTTTGTGCTGCAGGAATGCTGAGAAAATCCTGGGGTACCTCCACGCCAACGTCCTGAGCCAGGACCTCATCCCTCCCCACGTCAACTTCTCCCACCTGACCACCAAGGACTACTCGGAGATGTACAAGGTCATCATGACCGTGAAGGAGGACCATTTCTCAGCCCTGGGCCTGGACCCCTGCGTGCTGGAGGATGAGCTGAACAAGGTGTGGGACGGGCTGGGAGGCAGACAGGCCAGGGCTGGCTGGGGCTTGGGTTCGGGCTCCAGAAAGCCACCAGGGACCCACTCATTTACTTGATAAGCAAGGACCTTATTTTCATGTGTCCAGAGAGGGAGAGAGGAAAGGTATCAGCTCAAACCCCTGCCCTGAGGTCAGTTGAGCCCTGGTGAGCAGGGGCCCAGCGTTACTGCAGTTGTCCTCTACCTCGCCTGCCCATCAGCGTCCCCTGGGGTTTTATAAAACCTGATACCCAGCTTTACCTCCCGACCAATCAAATCATTGTCCCTGGGGTGAGCCAGGCATCGGTGTTTTTAAAGGCTCCACTGTGATCATGGGGCAGGCGGGCTGAGATCACTACATTCAGGTCTGGAGTTCAGAGCTGGGAGCAATCAGGGAAGGCTTCTCGGAAGAGGAGAGTCTTGAGCTGGGTGTGTTGCTAAAAGGGAGCGTCTTCATCTGAATTACCTGGGGTCCTTGTACACCTTGCAGATTCCAGACCCCACCGCTGAACTCCTGAACTGGTTGGTGTTTTACTGCCTTGGTGGGGGCAGGATTCTGATGCAAACTCAAACCCGAGCCCCGCTGGCCAAAGCAGCGGGATGTAGGTGGGGGTGGGGACCCCTGGGAAGAGGGAAGAGTCAATCCTAATGCTCTGAGGGGCTCCCAGGGTGGGTGAGGGCCCTCACTGAGGCCTGGCCCTCCCTCCGCCCGCACCCGCAGTCCGTGCAGGGCACAGGCCTGGCCTTCATCGCCTTCACCGAGGCCATGACGCACTTCCCCGCCTCCCCGTTCTGGTCCGTCATGTTCTTCCTGATGCTCATCAACCTGGGCCTGGGCAGTATGATCGGGACCATGGCGGGCATCACCACGCCCATCATCGACACCTTCAAGGTGCCCAAGGAGATGTTCACAGGTACCTCCTGGCAGCCTCCCCCGCCTGCGGGGACGACAGGGTGTGCCTCTGACGGAGAAACCCTGGGTTCTGACTCATTCCTGTCCCACAGGGCTGGGCCTGCTGCAGGGTGGGCTGTAGGCCTGGGGGGTGGGCGTTGGGGGGGCCTGGGTGCCCCCAAGAGCCCCGGGCCCGCCCACCGCACCCCTGCCCCCACACCGGCCTCCGGCTCTCTGTAGTGGGCTGCTGTGTCTTTGCATTCTTCGTGGGGCTGTTGTTCGTCCAGCGCTCGGGAAACTACTTTGTCACCATGTTTGACGACTACTCGGCCACCCTGCCGCTCACCGTCATCGTCATCCTCGAGAACATCGCTGTGGCCTGGATCTACGGGACCAAGAAGTAAGGGGCGTGGGGGGTGGGGCAGGAGTGGCTCCCCTGGGAGCGCTGTTTCCCACGGCCCCAACCGGGGTCCCAGAGTCAGGAAGCCAGAGCCGGAGGTGCTCCTGCAGATCATGTAGAGACTGAGACGCAGAGAGGGCAGCGCTGCTCGGGCTGCGGGCGCGAGTCTCCTGGGTTCAGGTCCCGTCGTCACCCTAAACTGCCTGAATGCTCACAGCACCTTTCCAGGATACCAGCTCCTCAGAATTCAGTGCAGCGTAAGCACCTAGTGGGTGTACAGGGGCCCCTGCCCTCCGCACTCATGGACTTCAGCAGCCCTACTCAGCGTTAAGGCTATTTACACAGGGTGTGAGGCAGGGCGTGGTTTGGGCCCTCCGTTTGGGTAAGAGAATTCAGCAATAAGAAGGGATTAGGTCTCATGGTCTGAGCCAAGGACAGCCCCTGGCCTCATGGCTCATGAGAGCCAATCTGTACTCCCAGAAAACCCTGCGACTAGGTCCCCCTCACTCGCTCAGCAAGGCCAGGGCTCCACTAACCCGCTCGGCCCTCCCCTCCCCTCCCCTCCCCTCCCCGATGTCTGGACCTGGCCTTAGAATCGGGCTCTCACTGTCGCTGATCCAGCCACCCGCTTCCTGGGACAGGGCAGCGGGCGGTGACACGGCAGGGAGCAGCCGTGAGCAGGGCTGGGACACGCTGCTCGGAGGTGCTGACCTCGGCAACCTGGGGAGGCCCCCGTGCCCGTCTCGGAATGCCATTTTTAAATGCACATGATAAAATAGAGAGCATTGTACAGGCAACTCGTTATATTGACAATTAGCAAAATACTGTTTCAAATCTGAGATGTGATATCTGTGTACTTTATTTTTTAAAATATGTTTTTATTGATTTCAGAGAGGAAGGGAGAGGGAGAGAGAGATAGAAACATCAATGATGAGAGAGAATCATTGATCGGCTGCCTCCTCAGGCCCTACACTGGGGATCAAGCCTACAACCTGGACATGTGACCTGGCCAGGAATTGAACCGTGACCTCCTGGTTCCTACCAGCCGGGCTCTGACTTTACTTTTACTGCATTACATTGTAAGATCTGGCTGTGGGTTTCATAGCAATGGTAACTCCGGAGCAGCTGTGAGCATAAGTGATCTTAGTAGGTCTCTTCAGTTGTAATGTGATAGGAACATATCTGAGATTTAATCAGTTGCTGGCAGTCACAGGAACGGTTAACACTACTGTGGTTGTTTGCATTTGTAATAGAAAGAAATGCAAGATTTCGGTTAGGTGTTATTGAGGTAGAGATGATTTTTTAAATGCCATTCGTGGGCACAGTCTGCGAGCCCCCCCAGAATTCCACCCACAGGCACTGAGTTAGAAACCCCTAGTCAGGGCAGCCTTCTGGACACTAGGGAAGTGCACTTCCCCCTCTTTTCCAGCAGGGGGAGTCTAGAGCCAGGCCAGTGCGAGTGGGGGTGGGGGCTGCCCAGAGCACAAAGCCCTCTGGTGCCGCCTGCCAGGCAGAGTGTGTCCTGCGGGTTGTATTATATCCTGGGTGGGTGTGATTTGATGTAGTCGGAGGATCTTAGAGGAAGACAGCAGAGCCTGCCCAGAGGCCAGCAGCCACAGATGATATACCAGGAGCGCTGAATGTGAAGAATGGGTGGGATGGTCAGAGAAGGCTTCCTGGAGGAGGAGGCTGTGGAGGACTACGCAGGCACAGTGGGGGTGCCAGCTTCCGGCCCTCTGCTGCCCCCGGAAGGTTCATGCAGGAGCTGACGGGAGATGCTGGGCTTCCGGCCCTACCGCTTCTATTTCTACATGTGGAAGTTCGTGTCTCCCCTGTGCATGGCTGTGCTCACCACGGCCAGCGTCATCCAGCTGGCGGTCACCCCCCCCGGGTTACAGCGCCTGGAATCAAAGGAGGAGGTGAGGGGTGGCAGCCCGGGGACATGGGGACCTTCCCAGGCCTTTAATGCCACAGGTGCTAGAGACCAACCCCTCGGTGGGGCAGTTGCCATGTGCCCGGCCTGCTGGGGGCGTTGCACACCTGCCCGTAACCTTTCCAGCAGCCAGGGCGAGGCGGCATCGTCCCTGTGGTACAGACAGGGACACGAGGGTCGAAAGGCTAACGCCCTTGTCCCTCTCTCTGACCCGTGCTTTCTCGCCCTGGTGTGGAGTGGACTCACCCACCCTTTGTGCAAGTGCAGAAACTGGGGTGCAGATGACCGGCTACCTCAAGTAGCAGTCGCTGCTGCCCCTCATCTCTGCTGGTGCCAGACGGTGGTGGGGTGGGGAGAGGGCGGAAGAGGGGCCCTGCGCGGGTGAGGGGCGGCAGTGCCAGGCACGGGCCCTCACCCCCGCCCGCCCCCAGGCTGCCGAGCGCTACCTGTATTTCCCCGACTGGGCCATGGCGCTCCTGATCATCCTCATCGTCGTGGCGACCCTGCCCATCCCCGTGGTGTTCGTCCTGAGGCACTTCCACCTGCTGTCGGACGGCTCCAACACCCTGTCCGTGTCCTACAAGAAGGGCCGCATGATGAAGGACATCTCCAACCTGGAGGAGAATGACGAGACCCGCTTCATCCTCAGCAAGGTGCCCAGCGAGGCGCCCTCCCCCATGCCCACCCACCGCTCCTACCTGGGGCCCGGCAGCACGTCGCCCCTGGAGCCCAGCGGCAACCCCAACGGACGCTATGGGAGCGGCTACCTCCTGGCCAGCACCCCGGAATCGGAGCTGTGACCACCGCCCCCACCACGCCCGCCCCTCGCCCCCTCCCACCCAGCCAGCCCCCCCTGCCTGGCCCTCCTCCAGGGGAGGGGCTGCCCTGCCTCATCCCCCAGCCCGTTCTGCACCCCAGACCTGAGTGGGGGCTGTGCCATCTAACCCTCTGAGATCCTATCACCGCGTGGCAGCCGAGTAACTGGAACAGCCCAGAAGTTCTGACTCCCATACAGGGGAGGCTCCCAGGGGCCACTTTCAGGGTCACCCCTCCCTTCTCTCCCCCTAACCTGCTGCCTGCAGATCTTGGTCTCCGAGCCCTCTGTGCTGCCGGGTGGTGGGGTGGTGACAGCCACCGGGGTGGGGCGGGGTATCCCAGAGGCTGCCTGGTTGCAGGCGGGGGATGGGACAGATGTGCCAGGACCCAGGGCTCAGCTTGGGGTGGGGCTCCTCCGTGTGAGGCAGATGGTGCCCGGGCAGCAGAGGGGGGGGGGCTCCTCTACCCCCAGCTCCAGGTGGGGTCTCCGATGTCCCAGGCCAGGCCTGGGTGGTGGTGGGTGCTCCTGCATCTTGCTTGGGAGGGCCATGCCTAGGTCTGAACCCTTCATGCCTCCATTGGGGCTTAGCATCTCCCTGTCCCCTCCCCTCCCCTACCTGCCCCATCCTGGAGCTGAGTGCTGGCCTCTGCCTTTTCCTCGAGTCCCAGAGCACACTTGTCCACAGCACAATTCGGGTGGTTTGGAGCACAATTGCAAAGCACATCCCCTCCTCTCACCTGGGACCCAACTTTCTCTCTAGTGGCAGCTTCTCCCTGGAACAGGGTTCCTGGAGTTCAGGGCCCTTGTCCAGGAAGCCTGGCACCTGGGAAAGAGATCATTCCACTGCCCTTTTGGGCTGCCACTCCCCCTCTGTAATGTAAGCACAGCTACCCAGGCCATGGCGGTCGGGGCCACAGACAGTGCTGTGGACGCTGAAGGCAGCCAAGGGGAGGGGCTGGGTGTCTGTGTCCCACCCCCACTCTTCCCTTCTGCCTACCCTGGAATAGAACCTGACCAGAGAACAACTGCCTGCAGAGTGATGGATGTGCCAATGGAAGGAAGGATGGATGGATGGATGGATGGATGGATGGACGATGGATGGATGGATGGGATGATGGGGTGGGTGGATGAGTGGATGGATGGATTGGACCAAGGGAAGGATGGATGGATGGATGGATAGATGATGGATGGATGGATGGATGGATGGATGATGGGTGGGTGGATGAGTGGATGGATGGATGGACCAAGGGAAGGATGGATGGATGGATGGATGGATGATGGGTGGGTGGATGAGTGGATGGATGGATGGATGGATGGAAGATAGGAAGGAAGGACAACTGGCTGGAACAGCAAACCTCTTTGAGAGCTGTGGTGGGCAGGGAGGGCCCAGGCCTGGGCGCCATGACAGAAGGTTCTGAGTCACTTGTGACTCTGACTGCTCTCAGCACTGGGGGGCAAGAGGAGGACAGACTAGGCCCAGGTTCCCTCCTTGGCCCCTTAGTTTCTTGTGCCCCCCCCTCTTGCCTGGGGATCCATCCCCCCGCCCCACAATCTCCCTTACTCACCCCCCCTCCTCCCCTTTCTGGCCTCTCAGCCCCCCTGCCCTTCCAGTGAGGGGAGAGGGAGGCCCACGTCTCCCCAGAGACATAAGCCTTTGGGGCATAATAGGCCGCCTTAGGCCCCTTTCCTGACACCACCTCCTACCGGGCCCCGTGCCTAGTCCCACCAGCTCAGCAGCAGGAAGAGCAAGGCCCGGGAGAGACATGCTATATATACTCCTCTGTGTATTCTATTTCTATTGTATATGCAATCTGTACATGTGGGTGTAAATGCTGTTAAAGGACAACCCAATATACTGTGGCTGCCGGACTATTTTCACCCTCAGTGCTGCACAGATCTATTTTCATTGTATATTTGATATATTTTTAATTTTGTAGCTTGTGGCCGGGCCAGGCCCCAGCCCACCAGCCTGGGACAGGGGCGTGGTCCCTGCTGGCTGGCACGCTCCTAGCCTTTGGCTGCGGCCGGGCCTGTCCGGCTCTCTCTCTGCTGTGTTAGTCGTAGGGCTCAGAGCTTGGTGTGCGTGCGTGTATGTGTGTGATGTGTGCACATACGTGGGGGTGGGTGTGTGTGGGTGCTGATTTGTGAACCCCAGTGTCCCCCATGTCCTGAAGACCCCGCTGCCCTCCCTGCTCCCCCTCCTCCTCTCAGCCAGGCCCCCAGGGCTGCAGGACGCCCCTGCTGTGGGGGAAGCGGGCCATCCTTGCTGGTGCCATCACTGGGCTCCCAGAAACGGAAGGAAGGAGGGGCCTTGGGGATGGAGCCCCCCCGATTCATTTTCCAGTCACCTTCTCGCTGTCTCCACGGGAGTCGCAAGCTCTTCATCCTGACAAAATCCAGGCTTCTTAAGCGGGTGAGACACCCCCCTCCCCAAGAGGGCCCCTCACAGCGCCCTGCCCTGCGTTGGTCTCAGAGGTCCTGACCGTGTTCCGAAGGGACCTGCGGCCTGTCGCCTGCGCTGTTGACACACACACCTTCGCTCACTCCTCAGTGGGCGAGGCTGGGCAGGTGGGGCCTCTGATGAGTGAAGATCCAGCCCTAGGCTTCCTGGGGGAGTAGGAGGGGGACCTACATCCCGGCACAGGGTCCCCAACCCCCACTAGCACCGCAGGAGACAGCGACTCCAGGGCGGGTGTGCCTGAGAGAGTCCCGGTCCCTGCCCCTCAGCCTGATCACCAGCTTCTTGCTCAGGGAGCCGACCCGCTGAGGCAGCTTGAAGCCCCAGGCCCAGAGCGGGCGACAGTGGGGCTCACGAGCTGGTCCCACTGAGCTCGGCTTTGCCCTCCAGCAATAAATCTGCAGAGACTGTTGCTTTCCTAGTGCCGGAGGCGCCTCCTGAGCCAGCCCGCACGGCCTGAGGCCGGGGGCCGGAAGCTGTGTGCTCCCAGGCAGGGGCCACCCTTCTGCCCGTCCTCACAGCCGCACCCCTGCCACTGCCTCCCCACAGAGAAGAGACTGAACCTGTTGGAAGGCGCCTGGTGCCCTGAGCATCCACGAGGCCCCAAAACTGGGGACCTACTGCCTCTTCCCTGAGGCCTAACGATGGGGCTGGGGTGGGGGCCCAGGGTCCCTCCTCACCCCGAGCGCTGCTTGGTACAGGCCCAAGTGCAGACAGCGAGCATCACTTTAGGTCCTGGCGCAAGTTCATGGCTGGCAGAGCCCTGGGTAGGTCAAGACCACTCAGCCCAGGGGAGGGGACGAGGCATTGTCACCCTGGAGCCCCTTCCTCTCTACTCCCCCCATGGTGTGCAATAAAGTGTCTGTTCTTACCAACCCCCTCTGGCCTTTCTGACCTGCCAGGATCAGGGATGGGATGGGGCAGCGTTGGGGTAAGCTTGGATGGGATGCTGTGGGAGCTGTGGGTGTGGCTGGCTGGCTGGGACTTGGGGAGGAGGAGGAGGGACATGTGTTTATTCTCCAAGAATTGTCTAGGTGCCCTTGTAGCAGGCCTTACTGGGCTCCAAGACTCTACATGTCCATGCTCATGGGATGTTCGCAACAGCTGTCTGAGGAAGACAGTTGACCTTGGAACAACACAGGTTTGAACTGGACGGCACCACTTATACTTGGGTTTTTCCCAATAAATATACAGCTGGCCCTTCATACCCATGGGTTTCCCATCTATGAATCCAACCAACAGAAGACAGAATTTTTAAAATATATATTTTTATTGATTTCAGAGGGGAAGGGAGAGGGAGAGAGAGAAACATCAGTGATGAGAGAGAAGCATTGATCAGCTGCCTCCTGCACACCCTACACTGGAGATCAAGCCCACAACCCGGGCATGTGCTCTAACCGGGCATCGAACCGTGACCTCCTGGTTCCTAGGTCGACATGGGCAGCTGGGAAGCCTGACGCACTGCTCTGTGTCCCTTTCTATAAGGACCCGACTCCACTGGGGTTGTGACTGCCCTGTTCAAGGCCGGCTTGGTGGCTGTCCACTTGAGGAACACGAGGCTCCAACGACGTGAGGACGGTGTTTGGTGTCCACTTCCCAGGCTTTGAGGGGGAAATCCCTGCCCTGCCTTACTGCCAGGAAGAGCTCTGCCTGCCAGCTCGGGGGGGTGGGGGTGGGGGGGGGGGACACCCACCTCAGGGAGGGGCTGGGGCTGGGCAGACCTGAGAGCCAGGGAAGGGGCAGCAGGGTTCCTTGGAGCAAGCCACGTTCTAAGTCGTGAGAGAGCAGCCCCTCTCTTCAAACAGAAGGTAAAGATGAAATAGGGAATTTGTCATGAATTTAAGTGTTTAGTAAGCACCTAAGGAGCTGCGGGTGGGGGAAGTGCTGCTTCGTGCCTCGCCCTCAAGGAGCACAGACTGGCTGCGGGGGAGAGGGAAGGCCCCCCCACCCCACGGCACCCCTCTCCAGCCTGGAATGAGCTGCCAGCCAAGGTCCCCCCAGGGTCTCTCCATTTCCTTCTCCTGCCGGAGGAGACGGTGTTGTTCCAGGAACGGCCAGCAGATGGCAGGAAAACCTTTCTATTCAGATTTTGGTCCCCCTGTCCTCCGTCACTTACTCCTTTGTGGATTAGTCTATTCGTTGAACAAACACTTATATATTTTTTTAATATATTTTATTGATTTTTCACAGAGAGGAAGGGAGAGAGATAGAGAGTTAGAAACATCGATGAGAGAGAAACATCGATCAGCTGCCTCCTGCACATCTCCCACTGAGGATGTGCCCGCAACCCAGGTACATGCCCTTGACCGGAATCGAACCCGGGACCCTTCAGTCCGCAGGCCGACGCTCTATCCACTGAGCCAAACCGGTTTCGGCCAAACACTTATTTTTATAACTGATTTTGTTTTTAGAGAAAGAAAGGGAGGGAGATAGAAACATCGATTTGTTGTCCCACTTATTTATGCATTTATTGGTTGATTCTTGGATGTGCCCTGGGGCAGGGGTGGGGGGGACTGAACCCAGCAACCTTGGCCTCCTGGGACGCCGTTCTAACCAATTGAGCTACCCAGCCAGGGATGAACAAACACTTATTAGGCATCCACTGTAACAGGCTCTGTGCCAGCTATGGCTGCACAAGGATAAAGAAACCATTCCCATTGTCCTGAGTTGGGGAAAGGGAAGGGAACCCCTTCTCCCCCCACACCAACCCCAAACCTCCCCATATGTCTCTCTAACCGGGGAATATCTTGCTGCTGGAAATGTCACGCCTTGAAAATTTATCCAACCCTGTGGTTGAAGGTAATGTTTTTGGTTGAAATATCAACCCTCCTATCGGGAGGGACACACCAACCCCCTAAGAAGCAGTCTAACACGGCTTGGGTTTGAGGGCGTACGGAGCCAGACTTCCCACGTTCAAGTTCAAATGCCAGCTAGGCCCTCTGCCTCCTGGGAGGCCTCGGCCTCGGCGCTTACATCTCCTAGTCTGTAAAACAAGTAAAATGAATGGATTGAAATGAGACGATGCATATTGCTGTGATTCAGGTGACCCCAAATCTTAGTGGCTTAAAACAACCGTTTTATTATATCCCATGGTGTTTTGAGGGAGGGATTCAGGCAGGGCTTGTCTGAGCGACTCTCCTGGTGTCAACTGAGGCCAGACGCGCCGGTCGGAGGGTCCACGGCAGCCTCGCTCGCGCTCATCCAGACGGCTGGCACCTGGGGACAACGGCTGCAGGGCTGGGCTCCGAGTGTCACCAGAGGATCGTCCGCACTGGCCTTGGGAGCATCGTTCATCCCCGGAGGGCAGACTCCTTCTGTGATGCTCAGGGTGCCCGAGAGGCCATTTCAAGGGACAAGAGGTGAAGCTGCCCCCGCATCCCACTGCCTCATCGGGTCCGTGCAACGAGCGTTCTGAGCGTTCTGAGCGCCCAGGATTGTGCTCAGCACTGAGAATTACATACAAAGAAGGACCAGGCAGGGCCTGCCTGGCAGAGGCCTCATAACCTGGCGTGGAACGTCCTGCCACTCATACCCACGGTGCCAGGCACACCATTGCGTCCTTTACTTAAACATCGTCTTCTGTAGGAAGAAACCTGAAGAATGAGGAGAAGACGACGTCTGTCCCTCAACAAAAAACACATCCTTGT